TAAATACACATTTTTCTGTTGTGAGGGGAGGCAGTAGCAAAAACCATAAGAATAAATGCATGAGAAAGACATTATAAATGTTCTCAAAACTGCTTGGGCCCCTCTTGTTTATCACACCAGCATTGGCATTTGTATGTAACCAAACAATACATTTGATTGATGGAAGAAGCCATGATGGCTTAATGGCAGATGGAAGTTTTGAATATTTCTGGTACTTAACATATCCATATCATGTAACTGGAAAGACTGCTGTCTCAGAATCTGCAAAGACTTTGCCCATGAATAGTGGTAAGGAGTTGGTGTTCTCTGATTTGGTAATCTCCAGCTACATTGAATAGAAATTCTCATGTCACATACTGTAGTAATATTTTTAACCGGCTATTCTTTTCCTATCATTTATAGTTTTTAACTCAAAACTTACTCAACAGAACTAGTAGGTTGGTTTGTTTCCTAGTTTCCTTTCCTTTCTGCACAGATTGGTGTTACATGCAAAAAACGAACAACTTTTTTTCAATAATTTTATTAAGGACTGTATTAAACAGATAACAAAAGCCTAATAAAAATACATTTAAATTTAAAAAAAAAAACATAGAAAGAAAAGGAAACTTTCTCTTTTTTCCCGGCAAGTATTGTATATTCATCATTAATAACTTACCACTGTATCATAAAACACAATCAAAACTTTTTTATATAAATAAATATATATACCCACTTCTATCTAAATTAATTCCCCAATGTGTCCCTATAATAATAAAAAATTAATCTCAATTAACAATTAAACATCACAAAAAGTTAAAAATTATTAAACATTGCAAGAAATAATAATGTTATTTAATTGGATATAATAGATTGGTTTGTGATATACACAAATATCTATGATCTATCAAAAGTACCAACATAGATATCACAAACCGATCTATTACACCCAATAAAATCACAGTCAACATTGTACAAAATCTCCCCTTTCCCCCCGTTTAATTGTCTAAATTATCTAAACATTAAAACATTAATAATCTATAGTCAACACTATAAACACTACTGTATTGAAATAATATATTATACAGATCTTATAACAACATAAAGCAAAAGAAATAAAACTGGTTTCATCAGAATTTCTTTAAAAGTCTTTTAGCATGTTGCGGAAAAAATATCTGATCCTGAAGATGCAATCCTCTCATAAACACTTTATTGGAATTCAGTACTATGAATAAAGAACAATTCCAAATTAGTTTGCAAGAATTGGCAACTGAATTTAGTATCTTACAGCAGTAATAATGGATCATTCAGTCTCTACTTCAAGCTGAAGGTGTATTCTTTCTTTTAATAATATTTATGGCTCCATACTTCTGAGAGAGAAAACCTAGAACATTTTTTGGGGAAAATTTTTCAGAATTCTTTTCATATAAATCAAATTTGTACTCTCCCTGGCCCTGAAAATAGAGAAAGAGAATGGAGAATGGAAGGAAAAAAAACTCCTATATTTCCAAGAATCAAAACAACTCTTTCAGTAATTTCAATAAGGCATTTCCCACTTGTTCAGTTTGAAACTCTAATAATCTCTGTATCTCATTCTGGATTTCTACATTCCAAATCCCACATTCTAACGAATTATCCTTTGAACCAGGGGTGAAATGCTCTGAAGTCTGCTACTGGTTTGCTTCGCACGCACATATGTGCAAAGTGAACCGGTAAAAAAAAAGTAAAAAAAAAAGCCGTGCAATCGGAACTTTTTTTTTTACTTTTTTTAGCATTTTTTTACTACTGGTTCCAGCAAACCGGTAGCATTTTTTACTACCAGTTTGGACGAACCAGCCCAGATTGGTAGCATTTCACCTCTGCTTTGAACATGTCACTTGAAGACATATCTTTTTCCTTTTTTATTCTCATCAATCACTATGCTCGCTGTAAATTCTGGAATTACAGTTAGCACTTCTGGAAATTGCCAATTGCCAATTGCTGGGATACACTGATCTACATGAAACCAATGGCTGATCATTCAGTGGCATGGAGTGCAATATAGATAGCAATGCGCATTGATGATAGTCAGTAATGCAGTACATCCCACCGCAGGCAGGGCATCTGAAGGAGGCTGTGAGGGTCTAGATGACTTCCAATCAACCCTGGCAAAATGGAGTGGTTTTAGGGTCTGGTGAAGTGATATGTGTGCTGCCCCACTCACTCACTCACACTGACATGTCAGTGTGGTTTATTAATTTAATTTAATTTAATTTAATTTAATTTAATAATTTAATTTAATTTAATTTAATTTAATTTAATTTAATTTAATTTAATTTAATTTAATTTAATTTAATTTAATTTAATTTAATTTAATTTAATTTAATTTAATTTAATTTAATTTAATTTCTATACCGCCCTTCTCCTGCGGGACTCAGGGCGGTGTACAGCCAAGATAAAACATTGCATATAAAATTTAAAAACAATTTAAAAAAACAATTAAATAATTTTGGCCCAACATTTAAAAACAACCCAATTAAAACCGAATTCAATTAAAACTGAGAGGATGGTATCAAGCCAGCCCAGCTAGATGGAATAGATGTGTTTTCAGGGCCCGACGAAAAGTCTGGAGGTCTGATATTGTGCGTATCTCAGGGGGTAGGTCATTCCAAAGGGCGGGTGCTGCCACAGAGAAGGCTCTCCCCCTGGGGGTCGCCAGCTGGCACTGTCTGGCCGATGGCACCCTGAGGAGGCCCTCTCTGTGCGAGCGAACCGGTTGGTGGGAGGCTATTGGCGGCAGAAGGCGGTCTCGCAGATACCCCGGCCCTAAGCCATGGAGCGCTTTAAAAGTGGTCACCAACACCTTGAAGCGCACCCGAAAGACCACAGGAAGCCAGTGCAGCTCGCGCAGGAGAGGTGTCATATGTGAGCGCCCCATCGCTCCCATAATTCCCCGCGCGGCCGCATTATGGACTAACTGTAGCCTCCGGGTGCACCCCAAGGGGAGCCCCATGTAGAGAGCATTGCAGTAGTCCAGGCGGGAAGTGACGAGTGCTTGAGTGACCGTGCGTAGGGAGTCCCGATCCAGAAAGGGGCGCAACTGGCGTCCCTTATGGAGGGTTTTATTTGTCTTCCCCCAGCAGTTCTCTTCACCCGGCTTTAGAAGTGTCCCAACAAAGCCAGCCACAAGCAAGCCCAGATTAATTTCTAGACAATGGCCAATTAGTCCGATAATACCAAGCTGCTCAAACAGTTAGTCCAAAAAATGAACATAAAGTCCCCAGGAAAAACTTCAAGTACATCCACATTAGGTCACGGGTTATACTAATTCAGAGTCTCAGGATACACGAATGAGCATAGAGCCATGACCCACACACATTGCTTCCAGCAATGCCTACCTCTGCCTACTGTGCAAAATAGTTCCTGGTGCAGCCCATCAAGAGGGGCAGGGCCTTTTCCTGAGCAATCTGGCAGACCTCAGTTTCTCTGCCCTGTGTGCTCTGAGATCTACCACAACAGGCAGCTCTTTCCCCTCTTCACTGGCCTGCAAGCTCTCCCCAGCCGAAGTCTGTTCTGCCGTCAGTTCCGAGTCAGTAATCCCTGGACTGACCTTCTGCACAATTAGGGGGGTCTTCCTGAATGACAACTCCTGATTGAACAGCAGGAAGCAGCTGTGGCTAAGGGGAGGCTCTCCACAGATTCATCTTGTGTACCAATTGTATCTTTTCTTGCATGGGGAGGCCTTGATAACAACCAGTCATACCTCAATCACTTCCTGTATGATTTACTGCAATGTACCCTACATAGGGGCAGTGGTGGGTTGCTCCCAGTTCGGACTGGTTCACAAGAACCGGTAGTAAAACTGGTGGGAGGCTCCAACCACTGACCCGGATGTCATCATAGGCTATCTGTGCATGCGCAGAAGCTTCTGCGTATGCACAAAAGAGCACGAGCACACACGCACAAGCAAAGCAAGTGCGCACGCAGGCACAACACAAACGGGTAGTAAAAGTAAGTAGAACCCACCTTTGCATAAAGATCATCTGAGTACTACAACTGACCCAGAATACAGTGCTGCATACAGTGGTCTGTGATGGAATGTGGAAATGATCTTGGGAGATAGGAGGAGGGGAGAAGACATGCTGTTTTGGAAACATCAGATGCACTGGAAAGCCCATAGCTGCATAAAGAGCAGAAAAAGAAACTCAGAAACAATCCTTCCTAAGTTATCATGAAGTAAAAAGAGACTTGCAAGATTCCTTTAATATAGCCTTACAATAAAGTAGAATCAGCTCATCTGGTCTGTTTCCTGTCTGATCCACCTGGGAAGGCTGATATGCTCCCAGGTTGTCCCACATTACATTGTGTTGAATGAGCTACATGGACTTCCAGTTTTCTTCCAGTTATAATTCAAGTTGCTGTTTTTCACAGGACCAAGTTATTTGTGGGTTTTTGCCTCTTCCTGATAGGATCTGCCCATCCCACCAGATTGGATAGGGTAGCACACCCAGGTACCTTCCCTGAAATGCTGGCTTATGGCAGGACCTAGAAACCTGCCTTTTCTGAGGGTGCCTCTACCTTATGGAACTCCCATCCTTGTGGAACTCCCTTGTGGACAATCCAGCATGCCTCCAACATTTAGCCTTCCTTCCAAAAGGCCATGAAGACTTGGGCTTTTTACTGAGTCACTGAAATAAAGTAATGGTATCTGTTGATGGCTGTTGTGGCATCTGGCTTTTTAATTTTTGCTTTATTTGTTTGTATGTTTTTGTTGTGAGCCTTCCAGAGTTATGCTTTAAAATTGTTTAAATAAATACATCCAGCTGTATAATTAGTTGGTAAATTGGTAGTAGGTATTTTAATAGTAAAGTGTCTATTCAAAAGCTGGTTTTCCTTCAAAGACGTTTCTGTTCATTTCCCCCCATTTTTTAATACTTTAAAGGGAAGGTGTTCAGGAATACAAAATTTGTAAAGCATTTTTCCCAAACATGATAATAGAGACACATCTGACCTTTCTGTTTTCTTCTTGTGTATATCTTTGGCAGTGGTCGTGGCTGTTCATGCGGTTTCAGTATCAGCATCTTCAAAAGCAGTTCAAGTGAATAAAGGAAACAATGTCACCCTACCATGCAACTTTGAAAGTACTGCCGCAGAAGCAAAAGTCTCTTGGTGGGGAAAGCCCTCGGGAAGTAACCGTATGGTAAGATATATACATGTGATGGCTGAGCGTTTTAAGGAAACTAAGAATCTTTTTTGTCCTCTATTAATAGCAATAGCAGACTTATATACCGCTTTACAATGCTTTACAGCCCTGTCTAAGCTGTTTACAGAACCAGCATATTGCCCCCAACAATCTGGATCCTCATTTTACCCACCTCAGCAGGATGGAAGGCTGAGTAAACCTTGAGCCGGTGAGATTTGAACTGCCGATTTGCTGGCAGTCAGCAGAAGGAGCTTGCAATACTGCATTCTAACGAATGTGCCACCATGGCTCATAACTATAGCAAGTTCCTATAGACAAAATGTATTTCAGATAACCTAGTACTGCATTACATAGAGGCTTACAAGGCAAATCCTGTTCTGTTTATGCTCAGAAACCATTGGAGATTAATATAGTTGATTCAGGTCTGCAGAGTTACCATCTGTAAAGTGCATGCTAAACACTGGTCTGGCAACTACTTGTTTTCAATAGTTGACTTGTTCAAAATCTGTTCCAGTTTCGTTCCATGTAGAGTACATGATAATTAATTGAAATAGTGACCAGTAGGCATGATTCTATGATCCCTGAGAAGTACATGTCTAGAGTAAGAAGCTATGGTTTTCCCAGTAGTAATGTATGGCTGTGGGAGTTGGACCATAAGGAAGGATGAGTGCTGAAGAATTGATGCTTTCAAATTGTGGTGTTGGAGAAGACTCTTGACAACCTCTTGCGCTGCAAGGAGATCAAATCGGTACATCTAAAAGGAAATCAACCCTGACTGTTCTTTGGAAGGACAGATGCTGAAGCTGAAGCTCAAATGCTTTGGCCACCCAATGAGAATAGAGGACTCATTGGAAAAGACCTCAATGTTGGGAAAGGTTGAAGGCAAAAGGAGAAGGGTATGGCAGAGGATGAGATGGTTAGCTGGTGTCATATTTCAAGCATAAATTTGAAATAGGTTTATACATCCCAGACAATTTCTCTAGCGACAAATACTAACAATACATAATTTTATAAAACTCTTAGAAGACTGGAATATAATGTAAATGCCAAACCTTTCAATTAAATATGTTCCCAATGTTCCATTTGTATATTGTAACCAAATTTTTAGCCAATCTTATCATCTTGTTCTTTTCTACTACAAATTTTAAAAAAAGTTTATACATTTTAGAAATTACAAATAATTTTTCTACAAGTTTATTTCAAACTCAGTTTTATATTGTTTAAAACCATAATTTAAAAAAAAATATTTTGAATGTTTCCAATAATTGCACATAAGAAAAGCATTGATAAGTATGTCCTTCTGTTATCATAGCTCTTTTTGATTTTATTTTATATTTGCTTTGATAGAATTCTAATGTATCACACTAAGTTAACTACCTATGTTTGCATCATTTCTTGTACATAAAATGTTTCTTGTGCTAAAAGCCACAAAAGTGTTTTGGACACAAACTAGATTTTTATTTATTCCATATTCTCAGAATAGTGCATAATGACTTTTAAAACCCACATTAACCGTAGCTTTATTGTATCACAAATATCTATGTCACCCAAATACCAAATCATGTTCTCCTAACTCCAATAGATTCCTGCGTCTCAGCAATTCTCACTCCTTCATCCATACTAATCAACAAACAGCAAAATATAATTTCATATGGGTAAAACCAATCCTCCTCTTTCTTTTGCATCTTCTAATACCTTATATTTAGCTAATAGTTTTTACCCCATCACATAAACTTAGATAATTCTTCTGCATTGTTTAAATGGCAGCAGTTGTTAAAACAGGCATTGTCTGTAATTAAAAAAAAAAAACATTCAGGTAAAACATTTATCTAAATCATGGAAATTCTCCTCAACAATAACAATTGTACTTTGTTTCATTTTAACAAATATTTTTAACTTGATTCCATGTCTTAAGATCATTATCTTGGAATAATATATAATTCATGTTTGTCACAATGATATCCAATTATTTAACCTTCTTCTCACTCTTAAACACCATTGTGTTAATCAATTATGTCTGAATTTGTATTTTCATATTTTTATTAACATTAATCTTAAAACTTGCTGATGCACTAAATTTTCTTTTACTTTTCTTTTACTTTATCTTTTACTTTATCCGTTAATAATTCAGTTCCCTTTAAGGATCTTTCAGAACCAACACCAAATCATCTGGAAAAACTCTTAGCTTATCTTTTCTTTAATTTTTATGCCCACAGTCCTCTCATCTTGTTTTATGTCTCTACTCAACATTTCAATAACTAAAATAAGATCAGGGACAATGAGCTTTCTTGCCTTAACAATTCTTAAGTTAACAATTCTTTCTTAACAAGTGGTTTCTGTGAAGTATAAATTGATTTTACTTTTACATTTTGTTGGATATCAACATAATCATTAAAAAGCTTAGAGGGTAGCAAGATAAGTGCCTACTGGGTTTGTTTATGCAAGGAGCGGGAATCTCATTGCTACCCTAACAGGTACCCTTCTTTCCTATCTAGGAAGAACTTGCTAGGAAGTGGTTTGATGGTACTGAAAACTTTGCGCCAGCTTACCAACGTCGTGTAAGATTCTCTAACGATTTTGAAAAGGGTGATGCTGGAATCACCCTTGTTAAGGTGACCACAGAAGACAATGGAACCTATGAATGCTTAGTCGATATAAGAAATGTATTCCCATCAAAAAGTATCGAAGTAGAACTTTTGGTCCTTGGTAAGGCATTCATCCCTTTGTATTTCTGCCAGTCCAATAACTAGATTCAGTAGTATGTACAGTAAACAGGGAGTACTGCCCACAGTAGTTTGAAATACTACTTAGTATGAAAGAATTGAAACAATTCAGTGTGGAATACAATAGACACACTGTTGTGTATATTGTAAAAATTATTGTACAGTGCAGGGGTGTAGAATATATTCTAATACTTGAGAAGCAGTACTGATGATCCTTGTGCCAGTTTGCTATATGATTGAAACAATCAAGGTAATAAACTATCCTATATTTAGTCAGATGAACCCAGTTTGTCTCTTCTGAAGATTTCTAGAATATACAGTGTCTCAGAAGATGATTTTCTCATCATTTGCTAAATCACTTTTTAATTGGAAGTGCTGGTGGAAGAATTTAAGACGTATGTACTAGAAGGGCATCAAACTGTCATATATTCCCCATTTTTTATATATGCATAAGTCTGTATGAAGAAGCTAAACAGGGAAGATAAATTGTATTTCTCTAACAAAAATGTTATTCCTAATAAATGGATTTGAAAAATGAGAATTACTGGTAGGGTTAAAATTTAAAGACTAGGGGATGGGATTAGTGTATGTGTCTCTGTCTGGTGATGCTTCTCTCCTTATGTTACTGAACCTGCTCATGGTTATTGTTTTCTTGTCATCTCTTTATCCAGTGGAACCATCCAATCCAGTGTGTGAAATTATTGGGAAACCAGAATACGGTCAAAATATTAATCTGACTTGCAATTCTGTCGAAGGATTCCCGGAACCTAAATATACCTGGCAAAGTTATGATATACAGAACCAAAGCCGGCCACTTGAAGGAATAGCTGTAGGAGGTATACTCTGACTTCACATTAATATAAATTAATTTTTTACTTTTAGTTTGTATGTTTTTAGGTCTATCTTAATCATTAGAATGAGAATGGACATTTGAATTTCTTAAAAATTATTTTCCATAGGGGGGAAAATATTTGACATAGTATGTTCTTTGAGTCTGTTCCAAATCATGCAAGAGCCACCTAGAACATATTTTTCCTCTGCCTAAAGGAACTAAAGGAACTTTAAAAATGTGAATGGTCAATCAGTGGTTTGCTATAAGTTTGACTTTAGTATCTTTTTTTTTTGATATAGCTATCTAAGTCTGCAGAGCAGAGGTGGGTTTCAGCAGGTTCTGATCAGTTCTGGATAGCGGAAATTTTGAGTAATTCGGAGAACCAGTAGTAAAAATTCTGACTGGCCCCGCCGCCATCTAATCTCTGCCTCCAAGTCCCAGCTGATCGGGAGGAAATGGGGATTTTGCAGTAACCTTCCCCTGGATTAAGAAGGAAATGGGGATTTTGCAGTAACCTTCCCCTGGATTAGGGAGGCAATGGAGATTTTACAGTATCCTTCCCCTGCCATGCCCACCAAGCCACACTACAGAACCGGTAGTAAAAATTTTTGAAACCCATCACTGCTGCAGGGCCAATTTCATTCCTCATAACTTTGGTGTTTTGGGAAATGGATGGTAGTTTTAAATGAATTTTACAGGGATTTTATAGATAATCATTTCTAAGTATTAATGATAGGATTTTTAAAATCTAGAACCAGCTTTGTTTTAAGCCCACTTCTGCAAGTTACAAAAATAAGTCAAAATGATATTGCTTCAGGATGAGAAAGAAAGAGAGGCCTTGCTAATGAGTACCCTTCTTTTAATTACTGAAGGTTATATGTGCTTAAAACCAAAACCAAAATAGCTTTCTATCTATCCCCAGCATTTCTATGATGCCTTTTTTCCCTGTAGTTCTCCACTGTCCATTTCCTTTTAGCAACAGTATGGTATAATGATGCCTGGGTATCTCAGATTCCAGCTATAAGCTCTCATTTCTTTCCAATGGGAGGTTGCCCCATACTCACAATCATTCTATTCCCCATAGTAATTCAGAATAATTGCTTGGTTCTTGTTCCATGGCAATTAAAAGAAGTACTTTAATGTCTGCTCCTTGCCCTTTCAAAACCTTGATAAAGGGTCAATGACCAACCACCATGTGTTAAGTTATTAAAAGTAAAAGTATTCACTTAGTATTCACTAATTGCCAGGAAGTAAGAACATGCATGATTAAAATCTCACTTCTACATTGAAGTAATATTCATTTACATGACTGGTATAATAAATAAACAGTTAGAATATCTATAATTTTGAAGTCGAAATGTGTGAGCCTAGCTACTTGGGTAGAACAAAACACTTGACTTTGCTGATGCAGACATCATTGTCCAGTGAGGCAACATGTCACTCAAAAATGCTTTGGGGCAGGAAATCACAAGCGGTTAAATGTAGTTGCATTTTATATATTAAATGTGTATTTTACATCTGTTTTGAATGTGAGTCCCAAGGTTCTTATTGGGAGGAATGAAACCATGTCAGTTTCCAGCAGTTTGTGATTTTGTGGCAATTTCTCTCTCTCAAATATCTTGTTAATTTGATATTCTCATAGCTACATTCAGAGGAAGACCATCTCACTGAGGAAATATTATTCATTTTCTTTGAACCTTATGTTATCATATTTCTTCAACTGCACACTCGGAAAGTGCTGTCAGCCATATTATTACGCCAAATGAGAGGCCAAACTGCTAGGCTTATGTGGCACATTCTGGGAGATAGCAAGCTTGTATAGCATCCCATAACATACCACATGAGCCTAAAAATGATTCTTAGCTTACTGTATGATATTTAGTATGATATAATATTTGCCTTACTGTAGCTGGAAAACGCTACCCTATTGTACAATATTCTGTAAACTGAAATGTACTAATAACTGAAAGTGAAATAGAACAGAACAAAATAACAGAGTTGGAAGAGACCTTGGAGGTCTTCTAGTCCAACCCCCTGCTTAGGCAGGAAACCCTACACCACTTCAGACAAATGGTTATCCAACATCTTCTTTAAAACTTGCAGTGTTGGAGCATTCACAACATTCTAGAGTTAAGTTGTTCCACTGATTAATTGTTCTGTCAGGAAATTTCTTCTTAGTTCTAGGTTGCTTCTCTCCTTGATTAGTTTCCACCCATTGCTTCTTGTCTTGCCCTCAGGTGCTTTGGAGAATAGCTTGACTCCCTCTTCTTTGTGGCAACCCTTGAGATATTGGAACACTACTATCATGTCTCCCCTACTCCTTCTTTTCATTAAACTAGACATACCCAGTTCCTGCAATCGTTCTGCATATGTTTTAGCTTCCAGTCCCCTAATCATCTTTGTTGCTCTTCTCTGCACTCTTTCTAGAGTCTCCACATCTTTTTTACTTCGTGGCGACCAAAACTTTATAATACCAAGGCATTAAAAAGTGGTATTAAAACATCACGTGATCTTGATTCTATCCCTCTGTTTATGCAGCAGTTGGCTTTTTTGGCAGCTGCTACACACTGCTGGCTCATAAAATAAAAGAGGACACCATCTTGTTAAACTCACCAGGCCTTGGACAAAACCTGACACCAATACTGTTATGAAAACAAAAGGGAAGATAGCTTTTATCCTGGAACATATCAAGTAAAGCCTTGATTAGATTTTACTGAGTTGGAAAGAAAATATATTAGTGATATATACTTGCTATACACCAGATGAGCCCATAGATGGTAGCAGCAGATCAGAAAATCTTTCCTAAATGTTAATAAATTGCTAGTATAGCATTGCTTATTTCTTTTTCTTTTATTCTCCTTTTTCTTATAAAGCAGTATAAGAGGAATATTATCTGTAAATTTACAATACAGAACAAGAATAAAGATCAAGACTAAATCTTTCTACCTTTTTCTCTATTTAAACGTTATGATTCATATGACTGAAATAGTGACTGTATATAAATTGACAAAGTATAAATAGTCACATAAAAGCACAGAAATTGAGCAAGCAACAACTTCAAATTGTTTGGTCAATATGCTCTATTTACAAATGACTTTATTTATTTTACTTTTTACTGTCCATTTGTAGGAGTTCTCTTGTAATATATAATAAATTAAAACATTATAAAATGTTTTAAAGCAATGTAAAAAGCCTATAATATAAAACAATATTGTAAAAACAATATAAAAGTCTACAGAGAATACAGCACAACTGATAACATAATAAATTAAGAGTAGCAATAAATAATGTTATAAAAATAAAAGAATGCAATCATAATAATAAGAAACGCAACATATATCACAATAAAATATTAAAAGAAATAATTTATCCAAGACATTTCACACATTTCTCTACAATATATTTTCCCCTCAAATGGAGTATTCCAAGTTAGCTTTCTTATCAATATATGCAGATTCTCTATGCTTTTCTTTTACTACACATAATCTTTCTGTGATGCTTCTTCACTCAATTACTCTTCTCCATTGCATGACCTTTGATAAACACAAGAGTTTTTATTCATTCTGTTTGAAGATTTGTGTGAAAAGGAAATTCCCCTTATTCATTCCTCTTTGAATGTGCAGTTTTTATTCTATTCAGAGGCTGATTTTACGAACCAGTCTACTTGATTCAAGAACAACTCTTCATACTGCAATGTACAAATGAATTGACTGGGAATCTTTGAAGATTCAATTTGCTATTATGGGAGACATTCCTTGCAATATTTCAGAGTTAGATTACAATTTATTACTTATCCCATGGAGAAGAGAAGAATTACTAAACGTATGGAAAATGATCAGATTCATGGCATTTAGCTAATTTAAATTATTAATTTAATTTTAGTCTTTGATCTAGGTTTATTTACTTCCTAGTGCATGGCCCCAACATGACACTGAAATTTAAATTGAACTATTTAGAATATGTACTATATAGCATATTACAGCTTTTTTGTTGGGCAAATAAAGAAACATTTGAAATATTATTAGGAATGAAGCTTAGAAATTTCTATATAACACATCATTTCATATCTATGCTTCCAGCTCCTCCAGGTAAAGCAAATATTATTTACAGTCCCTTCTCCATTTATTATTATAGTCAAGGTAATTCCATGAAGGAGAGAGAAATAATGCTCAGTCATCCAGAGCATGTCATGGATAATTTTCAGCCTTGACTTATGGATATTAGTCTAGTTTTTCAATCACTATGCTACAATGCCAAATTACGTTAAGGTATAGATAGATACCTTAACAAGATGAGATCTGCTGAGGGCCCACTTTCAACTGTCAAAGTCACTGCTACTACTCCCTGTGATTATCATTGCATTTCACTTGTCACTTCAAAAAAAGTAGCATTGTAGCAAAAGTAAGAAGATGAAACTCTTTCTTAAACACATCTTTCCCTCTTGAGGAATATACAGTTTAGATAAGAAGGTGGAATAAGCAGTGGGGAAAGAAGTTGGAAAAAATCCACATCTTGTCTGAAATTTCTTCAAAACTGTTGTGGCCTGCCAGCTGCCAGCAGAGCTGGTGGCAGATTCGGTCAATGAGGAGGTTTGGGTGGAACTTGGGCCAGTCCTGCAGTCTGGAGAAGGACTGCTGCTTCTTCACTCTGATGAATGCTCCGCGTCGGAAGCAGAGATAGAGCCAGAGCCATCCGACATTTCCCAGCTGCCTTCCGAGTCGGAGATAAGTGGGGAAGAACAGTTGGGGCCTGTTTCAGATGCACGTATGTACAGAGCTGTCAGGAGAAGAGAACAACTGAGGAACAGGAGCCGACTCAGGAAGAAAGGCACACATGGACGCTGAATGGCCCCTCCCTGGCTGGGAAATAAATAGAAGCAAAAGGGGAGTGGTGGTTGCAGGAGACAACAGTATGTATGTATGTATGTATGTATGTATGTATGTATGTATGTATGTATTTATTTATTTATTTATTTATTTATTTATTTATTTATTTAATTTGGTT